ACGTTTGGAGCAGACTTACTGAAACTTGTCCATGCACATGCTTTAGCAGGCATAGGAACAAGGGAAAAAAAACCCAGTGAAGTCTTAAAACAGAGTCTTTTGGCTAGAAATAACCAAGGAGAAATAACCAGTGGAAGCCCACTGTCAATCCTCTCCAGAAGGGAAACTGAAGAGAAACAGTTACAGGACATGTCAAGGATAAAACTGCAATTGTTCCATTTTCAGGAATTGCTATGGTGAATCCTTGCCAAAGTTAGGTAAAGAAAATCGGTACAGTTTGCTTGTATGTTATTATGCCAAAAGACACCCGAGGCAATATCTTTGTACACAATAATATCTAACATAATTGGGCAAACTTGTACTATTTTTTTTTAAAAAAATATTTCTTCTTAACTCCCTTTTCAATTTGCTTGAAAGACTGCATGCATGCATGAATTAATGTGGCCCTTATAAGGGCATGCTCACATGTATCAACTTTGAGGGCTCTTTCCTCATAGACCAGTACTGTTAAGCTAACATTGCTTTTTCTGCTCATTTTTTAATCACTCCCCCCCCCACATCCCTTCCAAATTAGCAACAAAATTAGAAGGCCAGGCTAAAATTGTGGAAGATATTATTATTTAGGAAGTAAATAAAATCTGTTACCGATTCTAGCAGAATTAGAAGGAGGATATTTTTTAAAAAATTAACCGTGTACTTTATAGAAATTGTATAAAATAAAAAATGTGGACTTTCGTCTTTTCTTATATTTGAACGAATATAAAAATGTTGACAGATCAGAATAATAATTGGCTGTAACACTTACGTGGCCGGGTTTAAACCTTTCCACATATTTGTAACAAGAGATATGGCTTTAAGCACAACAAAGTGCCTTTAGGAATGCATGTAGGTATGGAAGTGACATTTTCTTTCTATATTGGATCATGTCTATGGTGCAATGATTCAACAATACAAATATTGATTTATGTCCCACACGGAGCTCAACGTGAGACATACTGAGAGCAAGTTTAGAATTCACATACCCACTTCTGATTTCATTTGATGCATCATCTTCATTATTTGTAGCAGCAACATTGAAGTACTGCTTTACAAATTACATGCTTACTTAATTGGTCAAAAAGTTCTTAGATATCCCCCCATCCATGTATCAATTCAAAAAAGCCATGGCATACTTATCTAATTTTACAGCTTAATTAAAAGCTGCTGTACTTCTACCGTACAAAAGGAGATTAAACAAAATGCTCCAGTTCTGAGAAACTGGATCACTTAAAACTCAGATAGGCCTTCTGTAGCTGCCAATCAGAGCAGACAGCTCAACCAAAGCAATGACCCCCCCCCCAACTCTATTTAGGACAATAGTTTTTATATTTGAGAGAATCTGAAGCAATTATGTGACTTGTTTCTGTGCAAAAGCCTTGTTGCACAGAAAATCCTAACTTTGGCCAGAGGATATTGAAACTGCCCATGGCTATTCCATCATCTCATAAATGAATTTATGGTAAGAAGAGCTATATACATATGGATGGTCAGTCTGTGTATTGACTCCTGGAAAAAGGTTTTTTTTTTCCTTTCCCTTCCTTTTTCTTCCCTTCTTTATCAAAGTGAAGGTTGAAAGACTATATTGCTTTGCTGGCAACAAAGCCTAAGTGGTAATGAAGGTTATAAAAAGTGATTTTACGATCAGCATCTGAAAAAACATGTCCTTACCTTTCACACTATTGCAGTTGGTTGGAACCATTCATTACGGAGAGGATATTGGCAAGCTGGAGAGAGTTAAAAGGAAAGATTATCAAAGAAAAACAGAGAGGGCAGAGAAAGGACAACCCAGTGCTATAAAGACAACTACAAATAAAAGATTCTAGGAAAGGAAGAACAACACAACTATATCTTATGGTGTGCTCAAGTTTTAATAATGTTTCTGATTCAGTTTTGAACCAGCCTTCTGCTCTTTTGTTGCTCATGTCCCTCTAAAATCCAGTCCCGAATGCCAATTTCAAACCTTTTTATTCATCCTGGCCAGATGTTCACATCAAGACACAAAAAATAAAATTTGTTTCTTCACATATCACACTGATGTACTGCCCAACCTGCAGAGAGAGGGGTGGTGTCCTCAGCATGTGATGTGAAGACTTCATCTGATGTGGCTGACAATAATAAGGCATTAAAGATATTTTAAACAAGCAACTAAGTCATCATGCAATTATAAGGATGGGACACACAGCATCTCTCAATCTAATCTCCTGCTAAGGATAAAATAAGAATAAACTATTTTTCAAGGAAAGGAAAAGTTTAAGTAAAATGTAAAGAATATGAGTCAGTTCAAGAACTATTTCTAAAAGAGTTTATAAATAAGGTGGCTCCTGCTTCTAGAGCAGGGATGTCAAACTTGTGTCATTACAGCAGCATCACGTGATGTATCAGGACTTCCCCCTCCCCCTTCGCTAAACCGGGCATGGGCGTGGCCAGCACGTGACGCATCTGGTCTGTGGGCCGTGAGTTTGACAGCCCTGTTCAAGAGCATCCTGCAGAAAATTCCCAATGCTGTCTCTATCATTAGGCCCAATAAAACAATTTCCATGGCAAGTGATCTTCAAGGGATTTTTATTGTCAAGAAAGAGAAAAAGACTTGATAGATTCCCCATCCTACCCAAATATAGAAATAAGATGATTTTGACTGAACTTGGAGATAGATAGGGGAGGAAATAATTTACAAAAAGTCTTGGACTGGTCCTCAAGCTCAACACAAGGCACCAGATGTTTGCACTGAAGCATACCACATTTTTAAAGTAAAAGGATCAGATGTTTTGAGCATCCAGTGCTCAAATTAGAGCCATCTGAACCTACAGATGCCACCTGAACCCCGCCTCCCCATAATTCACCCTCTAAATACCAAAATATATATATCTCAAACTTCTCCCTGCAGATTCACATTCTTCAAATAGTGGTAGGTGCACCCCTGGAACAAGTCAGATGCTGAGCAATCCATCTCCTCTTTTTCAAAAAAGGTCTGGGCTCCATTCTGAATATCTGATTCAGAGAGCACTTATCAAGGAAGCAGAAAGGATCCTGGCTAAACTTTTAACATGGCATTCATTATTAAAGCCACAATTGAAGCCATAAAATGTCTGATGAGCAACTAGAGGGTCTATTCAAACTAACTCCTGCTATTGCTGCACTATATCCAGAGCTGATTTATTGAGCAGAGAAAGAGTTATGGCATTCTGAAATGCTGGTTCTTAACCAAGTAGGCAATTTAGTTACTCTTAAGTCAGGCAAGTTGGGGATGAGAGGGCAATGGCATGAAACACAATGCAAGACTGGCCAGATACAGGAAGCTCTGAGTCTGCGCACAAAGATAGCCAATTTTGTTGAGTCAGACAATTGGATCCTTGTTTCTGTTACAATTGATCTAATAGAGGATGTGGAAAGCAGTTGTCTGAGATAAGGGAAGTGAAATGCATTGCAATATGTTGGGAGTAAGGGGGGAGGGAGGGAGGGAGGGAGGGAGGGAGGGAGGGAAGGAAGGAAGGAAGGAAGGAAGGAAGGAAGGAAGGAAGGAAGGAAGGAAGGAAGGAAGACTTAAAAGTAAGGCTGTTCTCCCTATGAAACAGTATAAATATTCAAACCACATAGATCTATGACATCAAGCCATAGATTCCAAGAGACTTTCCAGGAAGGAAGTCCACTTTGATTCCCCATATGCATAATTTAAATTATAAATGAACTTTAGTTGCTAGCAGTTTTAGTTTAGCTGCAGCACATAAGCAGGGCTTTCCTTGTTCACTATTTTTTGTCATGATTAGCTTTATTTTTTTCTTTGATATGATGTAGGGTCCATATTTTGTCTGTGTGAATGTGCATGCGCGCACACACATAAGTGTATATATAAAGTGTATATATGAAGATATATATCTGCTGATAATCTATTTCATGAGCACATATGTTCAACACTTATGTTGAAAAAAATGGAAATTTATATAGACTGTACAGAAACTCTAAGTGAAGTGTGTCCTAAACATCAGATTTGATTGTATTCCATTTTGCCCTGAAATGTCAATCTCATTTTGTTTCTTGTCAAAATATCTAGCCAGATATCAGCCTAGCCCAACTTGACTACTCCATATAGATTGCAGTGCAACTCCTGTAAATTTCAGCATGGTCAATCTATCTGGAGGCCAAGAGGTTTTCAAGGCTGGGGCATAACGTTAAAAATAAGGGCTCCATGTAATTTATGGCCATCTGGATGACTTCTGAGGGTCACACATCCCACACTACATTTGACTGCTGGTTAGTTGGCTATTTTACCTTCTTCCTGGTTAGATTTATTCTAATCCCTCTCTTGAATTTGTCTCTTCAGCCCAATGGAATCTGATTAGAAAAAAAGAAAAGAAATGCAAGATTGCATGTTGGCATTGGGTGCTTCCAAAGAGAGAGCACCATTTCCCAAAGCCATGGCCAGATTTTATTTTTAAGAAGATTTTGCAGAGGAAGAAAGAAGGAAGGAAGGAAGGAAGGAAGGAAGGAAGGAAGGAAGGAAGAAAGAAAGAAAGAAAGAAAGAAAGAAAGAAAGAAAGAAAGAAAGGCAAAAGGCAAAAAAGCAGCAAGAACTCAAAAGTTGCAAAGGCTTTAGTCCTTGGGCCCCACCTCTGTGTTTTCCCTGGAAGTTATTTAAAATAGTTTCTTCAACACTGAGGATTTTAGCACCTTTCCTCAACATCTTTCCTCAACTTTCAGGATAATATTTTTTTAAAAAAAAGTTTTATGGGTGAGAAAGATGTAATGAACCAAGTGATTTACTTTGATATGCTCTTCCCGGGGGCCTGAAAGAAGGAGGGGTTGTCATGTCTTGGGTTATTTGTGCGCTCCTTAAACCACCCAACCAGTGGGAGGAGAACATCGATCGTTTTAATACTAATTTAAAAAAAGGGGGCCGAGCTTACCAGTTACAGAAAGCAGGTGCTGTCCAACTCCCTCAGTTACTAGCGCTGCCTCCGTCGCCACCGACGCTCTTCTCCTCTCTCTCTCCCGCGCCCATCCCGAGACGCCCCTTGGGAAGGGAATGTTTTAAGAAGCCTCCCCGCATCTCCCGACCGGCATCTTCCTTTCCTGCGCCCTGTTTTACCTCAGACGATCATGCAGAAGACGACGATCTTGCTATGGGGCTTGCTGCTGCTTTCCGGGGTGAGTGGACGGTGCCAGTAGGAAACCGGCCGGGGACCGACGGAGCGAGACACGCTGGGAGGCATTAGGGAACGGGTGGGAGAATGGAGAGCACGCGTCCCCACTCTTCCGCGTCAGGCGCGGCTCCATCCCAGAGGACAAAATTGGGATGGGGGCAAGTTCGTGGCTTTTTGCTTTTTTCCGGAGTGGGTGGATGGGTGAGTTGGGAGGGCGAGGAAAACCTGGACCGGTGAGTATCAGGGTGTTGTATAAGATGATGCGGGATGGAAGAGGGTGTGTAGGGCGCAGAAAAAGGGGTCCGCGGCGGTCACGGCTGTCCACAGGGTGGCAAGTGAACCCCGTGAGCTTCGCCGCTCAGGCGTGGGAAGGTTGGGATGCGCTCGCGTACGTCACGTGTGAACCTTCGCGAGAGCAGAAGGTATCGGTCGAGGCATCAGCCTGGCAAGGGGAGAAGGGGTGGTTGGAGTGAACTTTTGATGTGCTCCAGTCCGATATAATGATAACATGGTAATGATAGTGTTTTAATACTGAATAACAAATTCAAACTGTGCAGACTGTAGACCGAGTGGGTAATTTTGTAGAGCTATATAGGGGACAGCGCCGGAGCCCTTGCTCTCGTCCTCTCCTCCTACCACACCTTACTTCTGATGGTTGGGATTCCCTCAGAACAGAAATCCATCCGGCGGAGGAAGACGTGAAGAAAAGAATCTGGGGACGGAGATTAGAGTCTTGAGTGGGGGCGGGATGTGGCAAAAGGCTTCCCTGGTCCGGAAAGCGGGTGTGGCGTTTCTGCGAGTGGGTTCCCGGAGAATGATCTTTCTTCCCATCCAGCTCCTTTCTTTGTGGCCGCTCAGCGGAAGCGGGTGGGAAGCGCGCCGGCTGGAAGCGAAAAAGCTGGTTTGGGATTCCGAGACTTGATTTCACTTTCCTTCTTCCGAATTCTCAGAAGAGTAAAGAGAGAGGGGATAATAAAGGAGGAATATTTTCAGGAGGAGGAACATTTTCACATGGCTTCAGAAATGATTGGTTGCTTACTCTCCGTGCAGAGTAAGCATTTTAGCACTTTAGCATATTCTGTTGCAGGAGAGCGGGATGCGGATGGATAAAGGGGCGGGTATCCAGATCAGCACAAAGTAATTCAGCAGCAAAACTTCAAAAGGCTACCAAATTCCCACTGACTTTTCCTGCCAGAAAGCGTGGGTGGGGAGAAGAGGGTCATCTTCGTTTCACGTCTCTTCTGGGAAGGAAATTAGGCTGAAATTCGTTGAAGGATGTTGGCTCTTTTTAAGTGCTAATAGAACCTGCGGGGACACATTTTTATACTGAAAACGAGCTCCTGGAGAAGGATTTAAAACTTGTCCTTCACAATTATTTTTTTAATGGCTAACTTTCGCTCTCCCTAGATATTTATTCCCAGGAATAAATATTTCCTCCCAAGAAATAACAGCTTTGATTTATGGATATGTAATTTTGTACTATAACTTTGAAAGACAGGCTAGAAAAGGCACCAAGCCCCTTTGACTTTGCAGCAGAAGATTCATTTGAGACAGTCTTCAGCTGGAAAACTTGCAGCTGCAAAGAGAACCACTGAGCATGCAAAGAGGGCATTAAAAAGTTTCTCATTTATCCTTTAATCATTTGCTCAAGGGGAAGTGAAAGCCTTCTAGATATCAATACACCCCCAAGTACTTTGCAAGTTCAGTGGAAAAATAATTCGGAATTCTACCCCAAAAGAACCTTCTAATGTTTGACAGCAGGGAGAGAGAAGGTGGAAAGGTTTTATGGCATGGACATGGGGTACAAGTGATATGTATAATGGAATCTAATGAGTTGTGTTTAGATCCTGTAATTGAAAGCATAGGTGGGCAAGGATTATGCATGGCTCTATAGAAAAAGTGATGGGCAATGAGGCACTCAGAGAGGACAAGTCATGTCCTCAAGCTCATGAGTTTGCCCTGAAGGTTATAGTCCTGAAACACAGCAGACTTCTACCACATTTACTGTAAGGCTGTGTTGATACAATACTTTTAATGTGCCATTCATAAAACACATCAAAGCAGAAACGTTCTGGGTTTGTCAAGCATGCTTATGTGCAAAACAACTCCAGGTTCAAACTGACTAAGCTTTACCTGATTTCCAAGTGCTTGGCTTTAAGCTCTCATGGCTAACAGATTGTCCAAGCACAACTTGTCTGAAGTTATCCTCAAAAGGGAAAAGTGTTACGAGCATTGTAGTAAACCCAGTGTTTAAACCGTGGTATGTGAGAAGTGGATGGCAAGAAAGGTGGAGAGCCTTGGGCATATAAGTGGGGAAAGGAGGGTGTGGTTTCTCAGCCCTAGCAACCCAGTTTTTTAAATGACTCTACATCCCTTCTACCTTTTTCCTCAGGCAATTTCCAACAGAGGAGTATGTTTCTTTCAGTGCTGAGCATAATCTTTGAAGGTGCCCTTCTGCCTGTTTGTGAATGTGAATGGGGAGGGGGGAAAGTGGGGGAAGAGCTCTTCCATAACTGGGATTGCAACATCAGCCCTTGGGATCCTGGAGCCTCACAAGACTCCAGAATCAGTGCCATGCTGTCATGCTGTTTTGTTTTCTTTTAGTCAGCAGAAGACTTCCTTCCTTCCTTCCTTCCTTCCTTCCTTCCTTCCTTCCTTCCTTTCCTCCCTCCCTCCCTCCCTTTCTTTCCTCCCTCCCTTGTTTCTTTCTTTCCTTCCTTCCTTCTCTCCCTCCCTTTCTTTCCTCCCTCCCTTCTTTCTTTCCTCCCTTTCTTTCCCCCTCCCTCTCTTCCTTTTTTCCATCCCACCCTCCTTCCCTCTTTCTCTCCCTCCCTTCCTCCCTCCTCCCTCCCTCCCTCCCTCCCTCCCTTCCTTCCAAAGGAAAGTGCCAAAAGCACCTGTAATTCTTATTTGTGGAGCAGCTAATCTTCTTTATAAGTAGAAGAAAATAAAATGTGCCTTATTTGGTGGGACAGTGGAAATGAAAGAGAACACTCAAGAGGGGTAAATTGGAAAGTAACCCAACAACACCCCCCCCCCAGGAGTAGTGAGTATATTCTCAATTCGGGCAGGGCTTCTGTATAGCAGAGTCAATAAAATGTGTGTCCGCTTAGGGATGGTCCTGCAATTAGAATGATGAGCTGGCTGCCTGAAGTAGTGCCGAAGGGCAAGGAGTGGTGGTAAAGGATTGAAGGCACAGCTGTATGTGCTGCATTCGTTGCCCTCGACTTGGTAAACCAGCTGGCTGCTTTTAGGTGTCATGGAAGATGCTGTCCCGTTGCCAACCCCAAATAAGATTTAACTGCGAAACCAATTAGTTCTTGATGTGGAAAGGAGGAGTGCTCCATAGGCTTGCAATGATGCCCAAAAGACTGAGAGAAAAGAGAGAGAGAGTCAGAGAAAGAGGGTTAGAAAATAAAAAGCAAATGTTCTAAGACTGAAAACACTCCAAGCATCAAACATACAGACCAAGCAATTCAATTAAAACGTTCCAAAACATGTTTATTTCTAAGTTTGATGAAGCGAAGAGAAGGGAGAACTCTGATGTGCATAGTTTCCAGAAAACGCCTTCTGCCAGAGGGGGCTTGAGTGTTATTGTGTTGCTAAAAAGAGAAACAGAAAAACTGGGTAGTGATTATTAGGTCATCTGGCTTTTCAAAGGGGCAAGGAGGCCTCAGTGTTATTCAGGCAGGCCACTGCTTGAGAGTTACTGTGCATTGTTCTCTGAACAGAAACTGGGTGGGGCAGAAGTTGTAGAATATAATAAGGTTCCGTTGAAGAGAAGTTATAACCTGATGAAGATGGAAGGGCGGGATGGGAAAGAAATCAGTTACTTCCATGTAATAGGTACCTACCTCACACCCATGAAGCTGTGATAAAGTCCATACATAATTCAGTGGTACAGGTCATGTTTTGCATTTAAAAGATCTCAGATTTAATGCCTGGCTTGAATGCTGAGTTAGCAGAAGATATGAAACCTTCTGGTCTGAGATCCTGCAGGGCTAAATCTTATTAGGATAGGTCAGAGATTAAAAACATTGGCTGGCTGGTCCCCTAGTATTTTGTAACAGGAAACACACTCAAAGTGAAACTTACATTTTGGCTTTACTTTTTTAAAAATTATTTTTTGTTGAATATTTTACCAAAACAGAACACATTGAAAGAAAAAGAAAAGTAATAGGTAACTAAGAAAAGTGCAGAAAAGGAGAAAAAAGGTATAAAGGAACAATTTCTGATCTTTTGTATCACAATGATATATGCATTTATATTTTATCCTCTCTCTAAGATTGTATCATGGCACCTTTCTTTCTATGTTCTACTCTTTGTTATTCTCAAACCCATAAATCACTAGTTTACTTTTTTTCTATTTTCACAATGAGTTCACAAAAAGTCCACAATGAGTTTCTGGTCACTAAAAATAGTATTTTTTGCCTTTTTCTTAATTAAACAAGTCAATTTTGCCATCTTTACGAATTCTGTCATTTTTACCAACCATTCTTCTGTTGTGGGTACTTCAGAGTTTTTCAATCTTTGTGTGTATAATAAATTTGCTGCAGTTACCATGTGCAAAAACAATTTTTCACAAGTCTTTTCTAGTTGTCTGTCCACTAGTCCCAGCAAAAAAGTTATAGTTTCATTAAGATTTGGGTCTGCCCAAAGCTGTGACACACCTTTCCACTTTGCATAATTACCCTATTTTTTGATGCCCTGAACTTCCTAAAAATATGCTAGGTCACCAGAATGCAGTCCTAACTGAGATCAAAACTAAAAGGGAACTGTATTGGCCATATGAAAGAAAATTTAAAATACCCGTTAGAAAATCATATAGTTTATTTATTAGGCCAATGCAAACATCATTCTTTGTAAACAATTAAATCTTATTTTTGTGTTCTCTGAATTAAACTAATAAACAGTCAACATTAGAATCTGAACCAGGTCTTGCCATCCACTAGGATCAGGAGCAAATCTTTCTGAGGAAGCATTTTATAAGGGCATCAATATGTC